GAATGTAAGTAGTTCGGCTGCTCGTCCACTATTGGTCCAGATTAGACCAATCCTGTCGCGACACGAGTCGGCGATGACGTTTTACCGCATTTTACGAATCTCTTTTAGTGTCTCTATACGAATACGGTCGCAATTTTTTCGCCGCGATATATGAATCCGCATTATAGGAGGGTCTACTGTACTGTACATTACAATAGATTTTTAATAAGATTTATTTTAAGTAAATTTTTCTGGTTTTTATTTCAGCAAATTCATTAATTATACCTTCATAATTAATATTTTTAACGACATTGTATTCTATTGAAATAATAGAAATATTGGATAATCGTTCTTGTCCGATAGTTGATCTTAAATAATTTTTTATTAAGTTTAACTTGCTAAAACTTCTCTCGCACGAAGCAATAGAAACGGGAAGAGTTAGAAATATTCTAAGAGCGACATTGATATTTGGGTAAGACTCAATTAAACCAAAATCATGAAGAGCCTGTAGAATATTAAGCGGAGATGCGGTTTCTATATTTTGTATAAGAGTCGTTACTTCAAAATTAAAACTTTCAATTTCACTTGTGAATTTGTACTTTTTTAAATCTTTGCTATATTTAATAGCGAGATTTGCAGCCGATTTTTTTTAAATCAGCAACACTCATGTATTGTAAAGACGAGCCACAGAGAAAGCAAAAATCGTCACAGATAGTTTTCATTTTTTTCATAACGCCAATCTATTTGACACAATAGAATGTCAAGAATACTGTAAATTTGTATTTGAAATAATTTTTCGGGTGTCAAGTTACTTCCTTCATTTGGTGTTTTATCTATTTCCATTATCTTAACCCTTTTTTTTTATTTATTAAGAAAGCCCTTTTCTATACTTTTTGGTTTGTTTTAACAATGTTTGATTGATCAATAATAGCATCTGTTAATATTGGTGGCCATAAAACTATATCATTTATTACTTCCATGTATCTATATATATCGAAGCATTTTTCTGGACTAGATCTTCTGCGTTTTTGCAATCCCTTTTTTCAGTAGCATTTTAAAAACTGCGGGGGCCCCTTCGGGACCCTATGCGCACGCATAGCTCACTTACCGCCGTTCAGGTATACACCACATATGCGTACTAGTATAAAGCAAAAAATGATGTCAGAATTTCTGCATGCATTTTACAACCTCGAGACTAAGATTTTATTCGGGAGTTATCGTTTTCAATTTAGTATTTTTAAAAATATCCTCGGACAGATTTATTTTTGTTATAAAATGTTACCTTTACAGATTTCTAGCTCTGCACACTGTAAAAAAATCTAGAAATACAGTTTTGTATATCATAATAATATTTCTAGTTGCCAGAGAGCTCTATAAAGTAGAGAAAAATCTGTAAATTTAAAAACTATAAACATAAATTTAAATTTCTCAAAAAATAAATTAAAAATCTCAAAAGTCTTTACTTTTGGCTGATTTGTCCGAGGTCTCCGCTACCTCACTACGTCCCTCTAAAAGTCGCCACAGTTCGGAACACTGGTGAGCAGACATCTGGGATCTAAGTAAGGCAGAATGTAATCGCCAAATCGCTATGGAAAGGCGGAAAAATTTTAAATTTAAAAATATAATTTCTTTGATCGGCAGTTTGGGCCCCCTTCCAAGTGGGCCCTGTGCGGGTGCACCTGTTGCACCTGCCTAGTTACGGCTCTGTATTAATAGTTAATAGTATAATTCTTAAAACGCATCTATGAATGTTTATAGTAAACTAAAAATGAAATACAATATATTATCATATTCTTAACATTCTGGTTTACATTATATTACGTACCCTGATAGTTCAATGTTAACTATCTTATAATAAATACTGTAATAAATTTTTTAAAAAATTAAAAAGCTGAAAAATTTATGAAATAAATATAAGAAAAAATTATAAATAAAGTTAAATTTCATCATATTTTGCGCGAAAAAACACTGAAATAGTTTCTATAGTTATGTGGCAAAAGAAAAAAGAGTTACAACTAATTAAATTAATCATGCAAATCAAAATGGGTCATACAAATCGATAAAATGTAAAAAATTCAGTCGATAGCAGAAATTTTAGTTTTCAGCCTTACTTTTTCAAAGGGCACTGCGAATTGTCCTTTTATTGATCAATTTACACACTGGTGGGAAACGAAATGGTAGCAAGAATCATGCCTCGTGAACATTTCCCGAAGTTAATGAAATATTTACATTTATCAAACAGATATAAAAAAAAAAAATTTAACGCATTTATCAGAACCAGCCTTGGCCCTTAGTCTCGAGTTTTTCGTGTTGTACTCGAACTGACGTCAGCGAACTCAATCGTGTTACTATGAATCACATAATCGGTAGTCTCGAGTTAGGGCTATTTCACACTATGACCGACTCCAAGTCGTGTTGCCATGGCAACAGCAGTCTGCCGACCGACTAGTCGTTCCAGTCGGACAGATTTGAAAACTTAAATATTTGTAGTCAGATCGGAGCAGTCGGTGAGCTACAGCCAATGAGAGCTTCGAAGCTATAACCAATCAGAGTTTAGATTTATCCAATCTACATCGAAGTTAGAAAATGGCGGAAAGTATAGATTTCTCGGAAGCTTTAATAAACGAAGTCAAAACATATCCGTGGCTTTATGATATTCGGCGAGCCTATTATAAAGACAACATAAAAAAAAAATAATTCTTAGACGGAGATTTTCAAAAACTAAACGTTGAAGGTACGTGATTGACTAATCTAATAATGACGCGATATATCTAAATTTACGATCGCTATCCACGACGGCCATGTTTTCTGTTTAATTTAAAAACTTACCATGATTGGCTAGTGTATTGATCTATAACACGCGTTCTAATTGGTCCTTATGAGTCGGCCACCGACATATAATCGTACTTAGTGTGAATGCTTTTACTACTAGTCGGTCCGATTATAAAATCGGTCGGGTCGGACCAGTCGGTCATAGTGTGAAACAGCCCTTAGACCCTTCGAGCCAACACGAAAGGCGAGCGGAAATACGTCACCCTCATTTGGTTGCGTGTGTCGTTAAGCATGATGGGATTATTTACAATGCATTTGGGTTTGCGACTATAAAGATTCGATCAATCAACTTAACTGTAACAAGTTGTAAACAAATCAACGTAAAGTGGTTTACATGTGTTACAGTTAAAAGTTTTGTCTTATAGGAATATAGTACGCAAAACAAAATGAAAACCTCGAATGTTTTATTTTAAAAAATAAGCGAAAAGAACAAACAGAAATATTAGTAAAATATGTAGAAAATAATAAGAAAATGAACAGTGGAAAATTCGACAATGAATTAGAAGAAAAAGGCAATTCGCTTTGTGGAGAAAATTAGTTGAAAAATTAATTACGTGTGTTGAAGCTAAAAAATCCGTTATGTAATAAAAAATGTGTTTTAATTTAATCCTTTCTTCATATAGACCCCTATAACGCGGTAGATACGTTCTGCAGCAGAACGTATCGCGAAATTCTTATAAAGCAGAAGTTCTGCTTTATAAGAATTTCGCGTTGTAGGAATCCTTAAATACATGAGCTAATCGTAGCCCTGCACGTGTGCAGTTTACGAACTACAGATATCTGAAAGGTTTTCTTCCATAAAATTAATCGATTCTAGACTAATTTCACTCAACATTTCCAAAACACGTATAATTTTTTGGGAACGATCCGTATAAACCAATGATTCTCAAACTTTTTCGATCCACCGCCCCCTTTGTTCCATAAAGCTATACCCAACGCCCCCTAACCCATTTTCTCTTGTGTGAGAAAAGGATTGGAAATATTCTTAGGAAAACTTTTCTATGAATCTCACACTTTGTTCCCTTACTGTACATTGTTCTCATCATCTGGAAACCATTAAACGCAATGTTTCCTCTTATCAGCCCCAATTTTGCCTTTGGTCACCGTTCAATACCCTGCCTCTATCATAGATCTATTCATCGCGCCAGAAGGGGGCGTTATTGCTTAGTTTGAGAAACGCTGAGCTAAAATAAAAGTCAATGTGTTAGAAATATTCAAGTTGTGACCTTCAATAAAAAATATATAAAATGTCAACATTTTATATATATTCCGTCGAATTTTTATATATAGAATTTGTCTGCCGTCGCCCCTCTATATTTCCTTAACGCCCCCCAATTCTCTTTGAGACTTCTACTTCCCCCCTGAAAGCCTCCAGCGCCCACAAGGGGGCGCTATCGCCCACTTTGAGAAACGCTGGTATAAACCATGCTATAAACAAAAAATTATAGGATTACTTACCGAGTGTGCACCGTTCGACGAAGCCATTGCTTAAGCTTGTTTTCGTCGCGGAGCAACGCACCAAACAACGGCCGCGTTTTCTGATAAGTTATTTTTCTTAGAAAAATTCGTTGAACTTTGTAGACATCGTTAATAGAAATAATTTTTCTGGCCGTTGAATAAATGTTATTTTTTTCCACAAGAAACGTATAAAATTACAGTACTGTGTTAGACTTACAGTACCTAATTTATATACTGTAGAGACGACATTAAAATCAACTTACCCGCTTAAACTCTCTGTAACTTGTTAGTAGTTCGGCTGCTCGTCCACTATTGGTACAGATTCGACTAATCCTGTCGCGACACAAGTCGGCGATGACGTTGTACCGCATTTTACGAGTCTCTTTTAGCGTCTTAATACGAATACGGTCGCAATTTTTTCGCCGCGATATACGAATCCGCATTATCTGAAACCGCGCTATAGAAAGGTCTACTGTAGTTTTCTTCCATGATCTATTTCTCAAATTGTTTTTTCTATTAAGATTATTTATTAATCAAAACTTGAAAGTTCTGATTAATAAATAATCTTAATTTAGTGTCTATGCTTTTAATAATTTATACATATAATTTACTATAATTTTAATACTCTTTTTCGATGAATTAGATACTTCTTTTTATTTTTCGAAAAATTTGCTATATAATTTTATCAATTATGAATTAAATTTTTTTTATTAGTACAGTATTGACTTGACACGAAAAAAATGGCATCTACTGGTGGTCGAAAAATTCGTCGCCTTCTCAGACGTCTTCCCGCTCTTTCTAACTCTTCTATAGCGATAGGAATTGCGTATCCGTTAACCATTTTCACATTCTTGTAGCGATCTCACATGTCAACTCAACGTGAGTAGCAACTCACATCGTGAAAAAGGAAACCACGTGAGTTAAAACTTGAAACTACCATTTTCACGTCAGTGTGTGAAATAGTATCACGTGACACCTTCAACACGTTGGGAGTTGTACGTATTACGTATGATCAAATTGATTATTTATTACTTCATGACGTGGCAAATAATGTTCTGTTTAAAAATATTTGTTTAATATATCAAAAGTATGATTAAATTTCTCATTATAGACGATTTTATGAATTATTAAACATTTTTTTTCTTTGGTTTTAAACAGTTTTGTTACATACCTGAGAAGAATAGTTACGTTCATCAGTATGAGTTTTATGATGGGGTTTTAGTTGCGCTTTCCATTTAAAACCTTTATTACAAATATCGCATTTAAAAGGACGTTCTTCACTATGAATATTTTGATGGCTTTTTAGATATACTTTCCATTTAAAACCTTTATTACAAATATCGCATTTGAAAAGACTTTCTTCACTATGAATATTTTGATGGTTTTTTAGATGGAATTTCCATTTAAAACCCTTATTACAAATATCGCATTTAAAAGGACGTTCTTCACTATGAGTTTTTTTATGCGTTTTTAGTTCCTCTTTCTGTTTAAAACCCTTATTACAAATATTGCAATTAAAAAAAGGTTTATCACTATGAGTTTTGTAATGTCTTTTTAAGTCATTTTTTTGTTGGAATCTTTTATTACAAATATCGCAAATGAAAGCACGTTTATCACTATGAGTTTTGTAATGTCTTTTTAAGTCATTTTTTTGTTTGAATCTTTTATTACAAATATCGCAAATGAAAGGACGTTCTTCACTATGAATATTTTGATGGTTTTTTAGATGGAATTTCCATTTAAAACCCTTATTACAAATATCGCATTTAAAAGGACGTTCTTCACTATGAGTTTTTTTATGCGTTTTTAGTTCCTCTTTCTGTTTAAAACCCTTATTACAAATATTGCAATTAAAAAAAGGTTTATCACTATGAGTTTTGTAATGTCTTTTTAAGTCATTTTTTTGTTGGAATCTTTTATTACAAATATCGCAAATGAAAGCACGTTCTTCACTATGAATATTTTTATGGTTTTTTAGTATACTTTTCTTATTAAAACCCTTATTACAAATTTCGCATTTGAAAAGACGTTCTTCACTATGAATATTTTGATGCTTTTTTAGTATACTTTTTTTATTAAAACCCTTATTACAAATTTCGCATTTGAAAAGACTTTCTTCACTATGAGTTTTGTGATGCATTTTTAAGGTATATTTTTGTTTAAATCCCTTATTACAAATATCGCATTTGAAAGGACGTTCTTCACTATGAGTTTTGTAATGCATTTTTAAGGTATATTTTTGTTTAAATCCCTTATTACAAATATCGCATTTGAAATGACGTTCTTCACTATGAGTTTTGTAATGCATTTTTAAGGTATATTTTTGTTTAAATCCCTTATTACAAATATCGCATTTGAAAGGACGTTCTTCACTATGAGTTTTGTAATGCATTTTTAAGGTATATTTTTGTTTAAATCCCTTATTACAAATATCGCATTTGAAAGGACGTTCTTCACTATGAGTTTTGTAATGCATTTTTAAGGTATATTTTTGTTTAAATCCCTTATTACAAATATCGCATTTGAAAGGACGTTCTTCACTATGAGTTTTGTAATGCATTTTTAAGGTATATTTTTGTTTAAATCCCTTATTACAAATATCGCATTTGAAATGACGTTCTTCACTATGAGTTTTGTAATGCATTTTTAAGGTATATTTTTGTTTAAATCCCTTATTACAAATATCGCATTTGAAATGACATTCTTCACTATGAATATTTTGATGGTTTTTTAGTTGACCTTTCAATTTAAAATCCTTATTACAAATATCGCAATTGAATAGACGTTTTTCACTATGAATATTTTGATGGCTTTTTAGTACACATTTCTGTTTAAAACACTTATTACAAATATCGCATTTGAAAGGACGTTCTTCACTATGAGTTTCCTGATGCCTTTTTAGTGCAACTTTTCTTTTAAAACCCTTATTACAACTATCGCATTTGAAAGGACGTTCTTCGCTATGAGTTTCTTGATGAATTTTTACTTCTATTTTGCTTTTAAAACCCTTATTACAAATATCGCATTTGAAAGGACGTTCTTCATTATGTCGTGCTCCATGACGTAACAATAGGCATTTCAATTTAAATTCTTGTCCACATATTTTGCAGGCATGAACTTTTTGTATTCTCTTCTGTATCTCTAAACAGCTTTTACCATATTGTACGCGCTTACCACAAATGTCGTTTTTCCTCTGAATATTAAATTTTTTACTATTTCTTAGAGATAACTTCACTCGATTTCCAGATGGCTGCAAATGTAAATTCATATCAGAGATTTCGTTTTTATTTTCAGTTTGGTGTTCTTTCATGTGTCTTCGCAAAAGAAATTGCCACAAAAACTTCTCATTGCAGGTTTTGCAGCAAAATGGCTTTTTTCTGATATGACAGAACAGATGTGTTTCTAATATTCTCTTATTTGTAAATGTCTGTTTACATAATTCACACGTAAATTCTTCTTTAGAATGAAATGCGAACATCACTTTAAAATATTTCCTTTTGATCTTATCATGAATTTTATTCCATTTTCTACTCGAAGGAATGTTCTTCTTTGTTCTGATATTATATTTAAAACTTTTTTCTTTTTCTGAATTCTGGTGAATATTAAATTCCTGAATGTGCTCTTCCTCCTGAACTGAAAGTTTAAAAAATAAAACATAATGAAGTATCTATTATATTTCAATAAACAACATAGTTTCAGCGTTAAAATAGTACTGTAGCATTAAAATTGGTAAAGTATACCTATGTTTTTCATATAAAAGCAAAGCATCATTTGTTGTCTGCACTAAAAAATAAAATATTTTACATTTATAATCATAAACTGAATAATTCAGCTTTAGTTTTTTTAGCAGACTTTTAAATGAGTGTGTAAAATTGTTTCAGTTTATCTCTTTTTGTTTATATTATTTGTGTTATATTATTTGTGTAGTTTGTTCCAGTGGTTATCATAGATAGAAACGTGAAAGAAATTGTATGCTTTTAGAGAGGAAAAGATATCATTAGTGTAAAAGAAAAAGTACAGCAACAAAAGTTAATAGAGAGGTTGAGGCACAAGTTCAAACGTTAAACGTGTACGGGTAGCAGAATTACACGTTACACGTTTCATGTCAAAGTAAAAATCGTTGAGGCACCCGTTCATAACATCATGTGACTCAGTGAACATTGCGCATTGACTCACGGGAAATAAGTTGAAAAAAATGGCGAAAACATTTTGCACGAAGGATCACCAGGAAAGGTAAATAAACAAATTAAACTGTTTAAAAGTATTTATTTGATGTTTAATAACACTAAATAATTATCTTTTTTACTGCAATTAGTGTCGTGTTTCCTTCAAGAAACATTAGGAAAGTTCAAATGCGTTTTTCTTGTTATCACGACATACTTCTGTTGAGAGAAGTAGTGGCTGTAAATCCCTATGTGTATGAAAATCCAAAGGTGCTTGGAAAAGTATATCTGAAAATTTACGGACGTATTACACCGTCGACGGTAGAAGATGCCGGGAAAGAACAACTTTAGTTCTACAAGTATTATGACAAGGTATGTGAATGCCATCTTGCCTCCCAGATATACAGTCTGTTACAAAAGTATACCACAAATTTTGAGATTTTTCAAAATTTATTTAAATTTTTTATTAGAGAACAGTTTGATATGTTTTAAGATAATTACAAAAATATCATTTTCAAGCTCTTTATTTTTTAATGATAATATATTAAAAGTTATCACTTTTTACTTGTTAGCAAAGTATAGGTATACTTTTTAAAATTACATAAAATTAATTTTTAAATATATTTTAAAGACTTAATATTTGGTTTCACCCCCTTTGGCTACAATTACTTGAAAAACTTTTTTAGGCATTGAGTTTATTACTTTTTTAATTGTTCATTCTTAATTTCATCTCATGTATCCATTATTGCAATTTTCAATTGATTTAGTTTCATATTGTTTCCCACTTTGATAAACAATTCCTGCTAAAATCCCCGATAAATTTTCAATTGGATTTAAATCTGGACTACATGAAGGCCAGTCAATATTACATCAATATTTTCTTTTTTAAAGAAATTTTTTGTTGACAGGACATGAATGGTAGCATTATCTTGTTGAAACTACTATTTATGACCTCCAATTAACCACCAAATGTGATCGTATTTTTGTCAGCAAATACTAAATTAGTTTTACCCTCCAATCCATCCTATTTACCTGCAAAACTATCCCAAATCATTATAGACCCATGGCTTATTTTAAATCTGCTTTCTCTTCTTAAATCATGCCAATAATATGAAAACACATCAGGGCCATATAAATTAAACTTCTCATCACCAAACATTATTTCTTGCCATTCTTCAGTCCATCCCATCTTGTCTTTAGCCCAATTTAAATTCATTGATATGTGTTTAGCAGTTAAAGGTAGTTTCAACTTTATTTTTAAATATTTTACATTGTCATAGTTTTTTAAAGTTCTCCAAAGAAATACCAATAGATGTATTGGTATTTCTTTGGAGAAGCATTTACGAATAGCAATGTGAAGAAACAGACGATTTTAATTCAGAAATTTTTAATTATTCAATTTTTTAGCAAGTGATGTAAAGTGTCGATAACATTTTTATAGCTGTGTTCATAAAATCGCTTATCATAGTTTTCTTTTCAGAAGCAAGACTGAACCAAGATAGAGAAGAAAGAAGAGTGTTTTTAGAAAAATTTGGATTAGAGAGAAAAGAAAGAGAAGCGTTATTAGAAATACTTTTGAAAACTTTGAATAAAAATTGAAAAAATTCTTTATTTATTTATTAATTACATTCTAACTATTTGTCCAATTTGGGGAATAAACAATTAAAATAATCTGATGTTGCACTACCGTATAAGCATGTGTGACAGTTTGTAAGTAGTGAACCAACAATATAGTTTATCAACAGGCTGAAGATACAATTTCAATTTTTTTTTTTAAATCTAGAAAAGCAAATATCTGAATTATTTTCCCAAATACCTATTCCACACACACTCTTACTGAACTCATCCTAGAATTAAATACTTGTTGCTCGGGTGTTCAGCTAGCACCTCGAAATGGTGTAATGAGGTATTGACGCAAAGGATAACCAGAATCTCCATATAAAACAAATTTGGTCCCGTTCTCAGAACAAGGAATCGCAGCCAAATGCTCTAACACAGTGTTTTTCAACCTTCTTGAATACGCGACCGCTTTGCAAGTTAAAAACTTCTGGCGATCCCTCCAGGGCCATATTAAAACTATATCAGTGATTTTAAAAACTACGTATTTAATTTTCTTACTGTTGAGACCTAAATATCGATCGAAAAACCAATTATACTGTAAAATAAACAGGTATAGCCTTCTCACTGAAATTCTAGATTTTTTTTTTTCATTGTAGTGTAGGACCTACAAACACTTGTCTTTTTCTTTTACCCGCGACCCCCCGTGTAAGGCTTTGCGACCCCACTCGGGTCGCGACCCACAGGTTGAAAAGCACTGCTCTAACAAATTAAATTCTCTTAACATTCCACTGTCACGACGTATTCCTTCTATTGGTCCAAAAAAATTAGCAATCATACCATCGGGTGTAACCACTGATTGAAATTTCAAACAATTTATACGTTTATGGCCACTGAATACCACCCTTTGATGTGTTTTGGTCTACAAATAGGACGTGCCATTCCATCTATGAAACCCCAATAATTTGTCAAAGGAGACCTTTTGCTGTTATTACTTGGCTAAATATATTTAATTTTTCTCTTCTTAGTTTTATCTCGTTGATATTCAATCAGAATCAGTCATTTTATTTAAATTTATTTTTGCTTTTGTCACAGGTAAATCTTTAGTGATATGATATAATAAAATGGCTTCTTCATCTCTATCATACTGATCCAACAATACTAATACCTCTTCACTAGACTACAAATATGATTTTAATTAAATGCTTGATGTGCGAAAATAAAAAAAAAAGGTGAACACAGCCTTTGAGTTTCCGTGGTCACATTACATTAAAAATATTAAATAATTAAATAATTTTTGGATTAAAATAGTCTGTTTCTTTACAATGTTATTCATAAATGCTTAAATAATCGTTATCTTAATAAAACAAATCATAATTTTAACCCCAAACACAAAAAAATGAAGACGTTTAAGCCGATCGTGTACTCACCTAGCTACACGTAGCAAACGCCTTTATCGATGGTCCAGAACTGCCAGATGGCAAAGCTCACCCGTTAGCCATACACGTTTTAGGCTAAATACGTGCGCCTCAACCTCTCTAATAATTTACATCAATAAATAAAAAGGCACAATCCCAGGACTTTTGTGATTTTTTTGAAAATCAAAATACCTTAATTTGAGTGTATGTCCAGTTGATATGTACAACATTTTCAAGAATATTAGCAACATCTTTTTTAACACGTTGCTAATATATACTTATTTATGTCATTAAATAAATTATATAGCCCTCGTTTACTTTGTTTCAATACATTTTCTTTATTATTTTAGCAGACCCATGAACAAAGCAAGATAACATGAATCATTAAATAAAAACTGATAAGTTGTTATTTAATGATTTTGATTATTCCAACAGATTTTTATTAATTTCAAAAGTTATATTAATACGTTGTAGGAGGTTACGTATAATTCTGAAAAATCTGATTCCAGTTAAATGTTTGACAATTGAATCTTGAATGTAGTTCTTCAGCTGCCCTCTGAATAATACTAACATAAAATGTCTGAACTAAGTAACATGTTACTTACTTTGGATGTTCACTTCATCCCTGTTAAAGTTTTCGTCCGGAGTGAAGAATTCATTGTTGACAGGCTAAACAATACGCAAACAATACATGACAATTACAAATAATCATTTATAATATATAAACAAGAAACGAGTTGCTCAACTTTCCCGGCAACGTTTTAAAATTTTGTTGGCGCTGTCTGTAATGAAACGCTTTTTAAATAATATACGATCTTTTTAACTATTATAGAAAGGCAAATAATTGAATTTTGAATGTAGGGATGAGTTTAATATAAAAAAGTTAAATACGAATAATAAGCGAAATCATAATTAAGTCTGTTCCTACTAAAGATACACATAATTCCCCATTATCTCCCCACCCTCTAAATTTTTAACCAGCAAATTTTAATAGCCTCAATTTCCCTAATAACAAAACTTTCCAGCAAAATTTCAGTTTTCGACAAAAAGAGCAGGAGTTATTAAGTTTCAAACAGGATGAAGGAAGTCATGCATCCTCATAGATTAACATCAATACATAAAGATAAAACCCATGATTTTTTGCATTTTCAACGTTTGAAGGCGTTCTAAGTTTAGAAATGTAAAAATCTTGGCGAGTCATTTTTTGACCGATTGCCATGCTTTTCCCCTTATATATAATAGTAGGAAAAGTAATATGAAAGACATTACAAACTTATACATTACAAATCAGCATTCTGTAATTTTATATATAAGCTACATATAAAATTACATTAAAGTTAATTATGTTTTAAAAATTTTGTAGAAATTATTTAGTCTTTTGAGGAAATTAACAAAATAACAAGCAAGACTTTTCACTTTTTATACTGTCCATTGATAAAGATATTACTAATGAAGTAGACTGATTTTGCTACAGATCTATGTTATTTATAAAGTAATTTAACCCAGTGAAAACCAAAATAGTAGTTCTGTAAAGAAAGATTTTTATACCTATTAAATTTCATAATTTGTTTTAAAACCGTTCTGCTCATCTTATTACATTAGAGAAGTTGCAGCCGAAGTTAAAACTTCAAAGTTGTACGGCAAGCAAAAATACACGTTTGACGTTTCAACTGCAAATAAAACACGTTCCGCCAACGTTGAGCACTGATTCATGGAGTATTGTCGAAAAATGGCAAAAACATTTAAAAACGGCGAAAGTTACCAAAAAACATAAAACTAACAAATTAGATTATTTTCAAAAATTTAAAGAATGTTTAATAACACTAAATAATTATTTTTTACTTTAATTAGCGTCTTGTCTCCTACCGTACGATATAATACTAGGACAATTCAGATGGGTTTTACCTGTTCTCATGACATACTTTTCTTGAGAGGAGTACTGTACTGGCTTATATAAATCCGAAAGCAGCTGGAAAATTAGTTTTAGAAATTTACAAACGTAATGCTGTTAATGGCAGATGATGCCGTAAAAAAAAATCCTACTTCTACAGTATTGCGATAAGCTATTATGAACACAAATATATAAAAATTCAATAGGCACTTCATTCACATAACTTGCAAAAACATTGAATAATTATATAATTTATGGATTAAAACCCTCTGTTTCTTTACAATGTCGTTCACAAATGCTTAAAAGTTCATTATTTTAATAAAATACGTCGTAAATTCAATCCAAACACAAAGGAAAAGCAAATGTTTAATCCAAACTTCTACTTGCCACGTTCGACGTTCAAAACACCATTGTCCTGAATCATTATGCTAAACATTATATTATATTATTCAATAAAATAAACATATTATATTGGAGATTAAAAAACGAAATTTAGTACTGTACATTGTGTATAAGTGGCATTAATGCTAATAAATTTTGGTAATAAAACATCAAGGGGTTAAGAGATAAAAAAATGGTCCCGTTTAAAATCTCGAATGGCGTCAGACTTCATGAAAATTTTATTTGTTGTTAGCATCTACAATTCTTTGTAAAATGCATTTCTATCATTAAAATTAAGCATTTCTTCATTTTATAATAATTGAAATTATAGAGAGTTTTTATAAGATACGGCGCCAAAGACAATTTTATTTAATTTTTTGATTAATAATATAGATGTTATTTTTTAAATAAAATCACTTAACTGCCAGGAAACTTACGCAACTCGTTGATAGATTTTTTCTTATATAATATATATTTTTATTTAATGCAGAATACACCTACATTCAAAGCATAATATTATATTAGTGATATTGAGCTACGTTTTCAATTATTCAGAAACCTAAGTTAATATTGAAATTTAACTGTAAAATCTCTTGAAATTTGTATTACTTACCAATACGTGTTCATCATCATCTGGGAAATGAACATCCTCTTTATAATCTTCAGTCTTTACTTCAATCTTCAATTTTTTCAAATCAACTTTAAATTCTGATTTTATTCCATGTTTTACATCAAAATTATCTTTTACTTCTTCTTTCTTGATATCTGTAGTCGAAATTACAATTTTATAACACAAAAAATACGGAAGAAAAACTTAAAATATAAAATGAAACATATTTTCATAAATTAACATAAGAAAAATTATATGTTTCATTACATCATTTATTTCTGATTACAAGCCGAAAACTAATCACGAGTCATGGCGAATTGGTGTGATGTGTGATACAAATTATAATAATTACGATTAAAAACTTCTTTTCGTTATTAAATAGACCAGCAACGAGTGCTTAACTTTTCCGGAAACATTTAAAACTACGTGTGGCACCATATCTTATAATACTTTGTTTAAAATATTTTTATATTTTAACTATTATTAAATTTAAAAAAAAGCTCGGTTTTAAGATTTTGAAAATAAAGATAAATTTTATAAAAAATTGTAAATTAGAAAATAAGTAAACTTGTCATATATCCGGCCTTAGTGAAGATACGCACGACCCACACTTACAATTTAATCTCGTAGATGTAATATATCGCGAAAAAGTTATGTTAATAAAAGTTCGATATTCCGGTGTTTTCCCGTTTCTGGACATTCTGACCCTATATTAGCACAATAATATAAATTACCTTACAAAATTCTCTTTGTCGACGTTTAAAACTTTATACAGTATCTGAAAATTCAGACTTACAGTTAAATCCCGCTTAGCGATGATTCCATATAACGAAATCTCCTCGAATCTTAAAAAAAAAGCTCAAAATTTACGCTGATTTAAATTATCGCGGCATTTCACTGATTCGTATATAATACGATTATTTGCAAACACAAACCAATTGGCAAGAAGTGGCAAAAAGGTGTATTTTAAATCTATGTTTGTTTGGTGCGATTTTAAAAAAATATAACATCATGAATGCCAGGAAATATCGACTATTCTGTATCAAAAAATAACCTGTCCTCATGGCATTCCAACATTCCTTAGAAACGCATATTGCTTAGTACATAAGTAAACAGATTGCACTTACTGCATGATTAATACAGCTTTGCTTTATTCTAAAATAAATATTATATGCACAAGTACTTAGTAAATAAAGTAAAAAACTAACTTGGATGGAGCTTATAAGTGATATGTTTATGTATCAAGTTTGCAAATGATGGATAATTTATATTCACTGTGAAACCGGCTCTCATAAGCAAGAAAAAATGTGTAATGCAAAGGTAAAACGAAACAAACTTGAGCCGAAATCAAGACCAGATATATTTATAGAATACTCGAGAATCAGAAGAGCCTACAGGGTATACGACCCAAAAATAAATAAGGTGGACATTAAGTTCATGGAATATCAATTAGGAAGTGAATTGTTAGACAAGTCAGACGGGGAAACTAATAGAAATAAAACAAGCAAATTCCTGGATAGAAATGGATTTACGCGATATGAACGAAAACAATGATCCCACACCCGTAGATGCGGAAAGAATAAGGAATGACGATAGACCCAATGATGAAATGACACAAATGAAGAACCCGACCTTACCCAAAGCGACGACACCCAAATTCAAATACCTAGAAAATCACAAAGAATCAGGGAGAAAATCCAAGAAGAAATCAGACTCAATTACCACGAAAATTTCTACGATATAGAAGAGTGGAGTGATACAGATGCAGTAAAAATGACACAAGATTTTACACCAACTACCTTCAAAGAAGCAATCACTTGTCGAGAACATAAATCGTGGTGAAAGACTATGAAAGATGAATATCAATCCATGAATACACGTCCATCTTTGGTGAGTCGCAAGTTTGCGACTCATCCAAGGTTAGTCGCTTAAAGTTTTGCGAGTTTTTCAATTCAAAACGTTTTACCTGAAAGTAATTAGGTAGACGATTCAATTGCTAACAGGATAAGTATGATGTGCAGGAACAAACCACTATTAATTTGAGAGGTACAGAGCATATATTTTAAATTAAATAAATTAAAAATATGATTAAAAATTGCAGCCCAGCATTGTCACGTTGTCTCAATAAATACTTGTTCGTATATTAAACACTTTCCATTCTCGTGACTATAAAAATTTTTCACGTTCACGATATTTTGATAACATTTCGGATAGTAATTACGCGATATATTGGTTATTTTAGTGGCCAATTGGAAGCAAGGATTTGAATCATATGGGAGTGATGTCGCCCCCATGTAAGCGTTTTTCCACATTGAAAGGGCTATTAGTAACAATTTATATTTTGAAAGTGATAAACAATTTTCTGGGCAATATAGTAAAACATTATATTAAGAATAATTAGATATATTATTCGTTATATCGTACAATAATTAAACAAATAACATTATACTAGTCACTAGTTTATTCAATGCAGTACAAATATGGCCTTAGCCTTGTCACTCAGCATCGGAATTTTGAAGTGAAGGAAGCGACGATTCGTTAGAATTGTTGTCGATTGAGAAACACTGAATTAAAGGCACGAAACACCGATTAACTCTGTACGAACTTTTGGTGAAAATCGAAAGTCACGTTATTACAATTTAAATCTTTTCTTCCGAAAACAGTTAATAAATGACCGGCACAACTCCATTCTCAAAAGAAAAGTATAATGTATAGAGGCAAGCCAATATTAATTTCAAATGAAGAGCATATGTTTTAAATTAAACACATTAAAAATGCGATTAAAATTGGAGCCGGCATCGTAACGATGTCATAATAAATAATTGCTCGTTTCATTGAAATCTAAATCATATAAATTCAAACTTTTCTCTGTTGTAAGATTCTGATCAATTAAATTAACAGTTTTAAATCTGTCAACTAAGTTAAATGTTATTGATAATATTAAATTCTATTTAAATCTTATTCATTATACAGAATGTATTCGCAAAGTTTTTCAAATGTTATCACTTCCATTTATATGAATATGAATTTATAGCTTACGAATTATTCTTATCACTACAAATAAACTTTCATAGTATTAAAAGTATTAAGCCTCTTACCTCTTTCGATTTTATAACCAGAATGACTCCAAACAGAGGATCCATTTGTGTCGTTTGTGGAAATTGGTTCTCTTTTAATATTTATCTGAAATAAGAAAATATTACATTATATTATTTGACAGATTGAACTTTATACACAGACAGATGAAAAAAATATTTTTTTCATTTTTTTCATAATTTTTTTTAAAAAATATGGACTACTATCTTCTTTTCTTTTAATTGTAGTGCCTATAGTCTATTTAACACCTTTCAGAGGAAAATTTTGAATTCAAACAACGTAACTTCTGATTTACAGCATATATACCTATAGTTTAGCGGAGCCTCTTGCCCAATTAAATGAATCTGATATTGTTTGAATATGTAAAGAATAGTTTATTAAGAATCAGGCTGCAATTTGATAAATTCCCACTTTCCTCAGTCTGTACGACTGTTTGACTGTCCTTTATTAATCTTGACAACAGTTAGATAGCTGAAAGCCGAGACCAGATGAGCTTAGAGGCACGAGGCACTGATTAACTTCTGATACAAGAACTTCTGATGCAAATCAAAAGTCACATTGTTTCAATTTAGATAGTTTCCTCTGAAAGAAGTTAGATACGTAAACGTCACGACTCTATTACTAACAGGAAAAGTATAATGTACAGGGGCAAGCCACTACTAATTTCAGGTGAAAAGCATATACTTTAAATTAAATACAGTTGACTCCCTATAACACGGGTTCCTATAGTTCGGATTCCTATATGACGGTGAAAAAATTGCGACGGTATCCGTACAAACCTGGTAAAATAACTCCTANTGTAGTCCGGCATTATGAGGATGCCACAATAAATCTCTTCTCGTTGATTGTCTTTTCTTTTTTGAACTTCTCTTATTTTCGGATCTTTTAATGCATGTAACAAGCGAAAGTATAAATATCGTGTCAAATTTCATCTTCAGCTTTCGGAAACCTCCATGTTTTAAGACTTCCTTGACCCGAAAACATGTTTAAAATATGAAGAATTTACTTGTTATTACAAATTGCAATGTTTTAAAAATACAATTTATCTTTAATCTGAAAATTAAGCTTTTTGCCATTTTATAACAATATAAACAGGTTTTTGAATAAAATTTCCTAACAGATGGTGCCACACACAATTTTAAATTTTTTTGCTTGAAAAGTTATGCAACTCGTTTCTGGATTGTTCCGATGACAGATAACTTCAGATTTCTTATTTTGTGATAATCTCTCGATCACCATCAATCTCCAAAGGACTTGATTGAAAATGGAAGAGATCGCACAGTACACATTTTAACGTCCCACAGCTTAAATATCATTGATTTTACAAATATAATACACTAAACTCAAATTACACATACCTGAAATATAAATTTTTAAATACAAAAGTAGATACCTTCAAAATATTATGCAGAATTAAGCATGAAATGAAGCAATATCAGCAACTACCAATAAAACTACAAAATTTATCTGAATAACGCGTAACTTGTCTAAGAAAGAGTATAGGAGTATAGTTACTGTACAATTATAGTTACTGATCCCGATGTAATAATAAATCTAGCAAAGATTTGCATTAGGCCAGGAACACACATGCGTAAAATTGTGTAGCAGAAAACTGAAATCAGCTTTCGGTTCAGTTTGTTTTACGCTTTTATGCCAGAACACACATACGTAAAAATTCTGACCGAATAGGATACGCCACTGTTACTAACAGTTTTATTTTTATTTTTTTCTCTCGTATATCTATCCCTTTGTACTTTCCATTTTTCCTCCGCTTTCTCTACTATAATATAGAAAATTTAAATTAATAGACTCACATTCCGAATTCAAATAAAGAATGTGTGATATAAATACTATGCCTATATATCGATTTTACTAGATCTACCTGTTGTTTGTAATTTAGTACCTATGGCCATCCATAAACGTTGTTTAAATACAGTGTCTTTATACGTGACACTGATGTGGTCAAACGGATTCAATAACTTCTCTATTTCATTTATTTTTCGTGTTTTCGAGACCGTAACAATTGTAGGGTTAACCCTCGTTGACGTTATTGTTAAAATAAAAACCACGTGTCTACTTTGACGTCACAGAAAAGACTTCTTTTTATTGGAGGAATTTTGGCGTAAAAACTTGAGACATGCTCTACTCTATTTTCAGTTCTGTTTCAGCCAAAATTTCAGAAAAATTTTTACGCTTTCTGTTTTATGCTAGATTTTACGCCGAATTTTACGCATGTGTGTTCCTGGCCTTACTTTCCTGGCTGTTATGAGATTATATTTTGAAAATCACTTTTTAATTATTAAGCATAATAAATATATAAAATTGTATGTATTGCCAAGTGTTAAGAGTTTTTGTTAAAAAAATTTACATATATTTAATTATTATAAAATAGCAAAAGACTTAATACAGATAAGTTTATAAAACATTGTAAATGGCAACAAGTAAAATCTTCGTTAAGTCTGACCCCTCGAGGTATATTACACGTAACCAGTGGCGAGCCGTCTATGGAANTCTTAGAAAATAGTATTTTTCACTCACCTCTAAAGGTTCTGATTTAATTGTTTTAGAACACTTCACATCTGTGTTAAATTCTTTCTTGAAATTTTTAAAATCAACTTTAAATTTTTCGTCGTTTTGTTCAATTGTGAAGTCCGAATATTTCGTTTCTAACTCTTCTTTTATCTTCATTTTTTCATTTACGATATTCTCGTATGTCAACGATCTGTATTCAATCAAAGAATTAATTATAGTTAGTTAACAAATGTTCATTCGAAATTTAGAGCAAAGACGAGTAAAATCATGATTATTGTTCCCGTTGTAAGTTGTAACAGTAAACAAAGCGATGACCTCTCAAGGTTAACGGAAGAAATTCCAGTGGTAACATGTCAACAGCACACGTGGTACTTACAGCTATAAAATCACTTATACCGTTAATAGTCAAGAATTTTTAAATTGAAGTTTAAAATTCATTTTTAATAACATAAACACCACAGTTGAAATATATTTATTTATGAAATATTAATAAAAACGTATTAAAATTTATGATAATAATTCAACTTTTGTGCGCTATTGATACTTTGGGGTTCTGGGCTTGAGTCCTATTAATCCCCATGTAGATTTGCCACTGACTACGAAGCCCGATAGTTCAACGTTAACTCACTTATAATTAAAAGAAAAAAATTTAAATAAAAATAAAATAAAAAGCAGGTAATTTTATAAAATAAATGAATAAAACTAGTAAAAAATATGTAAATGAATATAAATTTGATTATCTTTTGTGCGAAACAACACTAAAATCATTTTTAATAGTTATGTAGAAAGAAACGACAGTTGCAATTAATTAAAAATAGTATAATTAATGCAGAAAATCCAACGCAAAATTAATATTACGTGATGATCTAAAATTCATAATTTACTTTTAACAACAGTTCGTTATTGTTCGATATTTTTCTCTATTTTTGTAAAACATACGAAATTGGAGGATAAACTACCTTTTCTGTTAATGTACACCAATGCTCCCTAACCCATCTTTCCTTGTGTGAGAAAGACCTGGAAGTGTTTTTAGGAAAACTTTTCTATGAAATTCACACTTTTAGTCTCCAAATCTAAAAATCGTTGAACGCAATGTTCCTTCACTCACGTTTTAAGAGTTAAGAAAAAGATTGTCAGTGACCCCACGCTTTGCCTACATTTACCATAGGCAAATACTCTACCTCTAGTCTCCCCTGTCGTCCAGTTCATTTCGACCCTTAGATTTATTATCCACCCATGGGGGAGCGTCGTGCCCACTTTGGGAACCGCTGCGCTAAACAGTCTAACTTCCAAGTAAAAATCTTGTTACGACAGTTCTAATTGGAGGAGTTTGGCGCTTAAAAATCAGGTCACTCTCACACAGGATAGTTCCCTGGAATCTGCCACTTAAAACTTGTAGTCTGTGTGAACGAACAACATACCTCCGACGCACATAGGAAAAAAAAACGAAGCAAAATTCGAAGACGAGGAGAATTATCTCCGATTTAAATAATAATTGTGAAAACATTACAGGTATATTATATTTAAGTTATTCTGTGAACTGTCTCTCACTCTCTCCCTCTATCTCCATTCTAAACGGAAATTCGACAGAAGGATAAACCAGCAACCAGTAACTCAAATCTCCCGGCAACAATTGAATTTTGCTAGTGCCCTCTGTTATCATATTTAATTTTTAAAATATAAAACGGAAAACTTTAATTTTAAGGATAGGGACAAGTAAAATCGTCATTAAGTTCGCCATGACGAGTTTCTATCAGCCAATAACGGTTCGTCTGGTAGTCACGTGAGAAAATACAATCACGTGGTATTTATGGCAGAAAGAACTATGCGGTAACTAAGATAACGCACATTAGAATAAAGAGGAAAGGATAATAAATTTTACACAAATAATCACATATAATTTAATTCAAAGGAAAAAACAAACAAATCTTAGTCGAAGTAGTATTCTTTATCGACAGATCTTGATCGAGGAATAAGCGTGTTTTGTACAGCAGTTCTTTCTCGATCCAAGAAAATATCTATCATCCAAAATCTTCTAGTTAAATAAAGCGAGCCGTACAAAACAAAATTTCTAAACACGTGGATAACGGCAGTGTCGGTATCGTTCGCCATCTTGAATACTGTACACATGCGCCGAAATGCCACTTGTGTGGTTGTGCAGCTGCGCTAAGTCACCACTTTTCGTTACCGCGCCACGAGTGCATCCAATATAATGTAGATCCCATTTACTCTCCATCCCGTCGATCTTAAATTTTCGATATTATATAGCATCAGTTCCCCTAATGAAGGGGAGAAGACCTAGGGGAAGCTGGATGAACAAAATAGCTGACACACCTAAGAAAAAGAACTGACGATGTAATAAAGGTATAAACGAGGTGGGTTATAGGAACAATATTTGTTTACCATATATCACGTGGCTTTCGTACCTACAAACTATGACGTCAGTTAGTGACGCGCTACCTGTTGACTTTCTTATTAATTTTGAGTGTGCACCCCGTTTCTTACTGCTACAATGCGAACAAAAACAAAGTTTACTTACCTGTCTTTGTTAGGGCTCTTTCGTACTATGGCCGACTTGTTCCTCTCTAGCGTCTGCTAAGTCTTAGTTCTAAATTATGCCGCTATGCGCGATCAGGCGCCACTCGCGAAAACTTGTTTTGTCAATTTTGAGTCAAATTATTAGTTAAAAGTCAGAATAAAATAAATTTATGAATAGACACCTCGCTCGCAAATGAATTATTCTATAAAAAAAAAACTAATATTGTAAGATTATCAGATGGAATTACGAATAAAATAAAACATAGGGAAAGTTGAAATTTGATATTTTCCCAAGTGCTATTATTAGTAGTAATTGAACGTTCTGTAATATGGTTAAAAGTATATAGTTTATAAACATTACTGTTTGCATTAATTATAAATTCATTACTCATGTGACATATGCAACCTTCATACTGTCTTGATATTATTTTGGAAAGTATACTTATAGAGAAAGACAGGGTTCAAGACTTGCTCTCACTCAGCCAATTATAGGTGGATGGGACGTAATGCTTCTTAGGGGAAACTACTTGGCATGTTTTTCTTTAATAACTACAACTTTGCAATTTCTAAACAAATTATAGCATACTACATAATTGCAGTATAATTCCTTATATGCAGTATTTTTCAACATTAAATGGTAACACGTTTAACATTCTTTCACCCCATCAGGGCAGATAGAACGAAATCTCAAGATGTAATTTTTATAATAAATAAAATGTCAAGTGGTTATAGCATGGACATCATCCTATTGTTCCTATCCAGATCTATCCCTGATAGAAGAATATACTAATATTAGGAATGCCAATGTTGAAAAACTGCTACAATACTATACTACAATGCTGTAGAGGTTTGATGTCATTTAGCCTCTCTATTTATGATTTCATTTGCATTAATTTCCATTGAAATAATAATTGAGACCTAATATTAAATAATGTTAGCAGAAAACAAATTACTACAAAAAATCTAGTTAAATAAATATGAAAATACCAAATTAAATGATAAGCACAAATAATTAAATTTCAATATTTTTAAATTCCAAGTATATAAATTAACAAGTTTACAATTCAAATATACATTTATCATTACTCAATAAGAAAAGTGTTTACATAAATAACATAATTGTCAAATAACTAGGATTTACAATAGTAAAATACGATTTCTTAAAAACAATGCTGGCCCCAGGCAACTTTTAGGGTGGAGCGAGATCCTATTATAGCGCTCCCTTTGGTTGCCCCTAAAATATACCCTTTAATTTCCTTTACCACTGAGGCGCCCCCTAGGACTTAACGCCTGAAGTGGCTGCTCCGTTTGCCCTATGGTAGGGCCTGCTGTGCTTAAAAACTTTGATTAAAAATAACTATTAAATGTTACACATTTTTGCTATTGAACTTAGGATATTCAAAGCAATGTGCTCTTCTTCTGTGGAGTGTTTTGATAATGCTCTGGTAATTTTAACATTCTTTTTCCTTTTCTTACTGGAAGTAAATCCTTGTTGAGGCTCAATGTTTGTCTTTTTTTATTTTTTTTGTTTCGTTAAAATTTTGTTTGTTAATAGTTGCTCTAATTGCCTCTAATGTGGGCTTTATAGGCTTTAACAATCTATCTAAACCTTCAAATTCTTCTACAAATTGTAAATTTTCAATTATTTTTTTTATATCGTCAAGTTGACATAGTGCATTTTTCCTTTTTAACTACACTTTCATATTTAATGTATTTGGTTCATCATTATTTATATTTTTGCTTAAGTGATCTAACAACACTTCTTTTTTCCTTTCATTGTTATTCTCCCATATAAGAAGTTCTCCCTGCTGTCGTTAAAACTGTTTTGAAACTCTTTCAGCTCTCAATTGGCAAACAAGATGAATGTGTTTGCACATATTGAATTTGATAACTAAATCAATGCATGTGCATGTGTACATATGAATGCAACATTTACACTCGTTACATAATCTTTGACATTCACAATTTTCTTTTACTGTAGCAACTGTATAGATATCTGATCCATTTGATAAAGGAATTTTCTATATGTTATCCTCTTTTATAACAAGATCTTTGCATAAGATTAAACCAGTTCTGTGCCTTTTTCTTAGATCAGAAAGCTTGCTTGTTACTTTTCCTTTATGCATGACAATGATTCTAACATACATCTTATCTCTTAAAAAGTCATTAAAGTGTGAATGGCTTTATCCAGGTGGTTTACTCTCTTTTATATGTGTTTAATGCACATATGCATATTCTGTATGTACATATTTGTATTTAGGCCACAATGTAGCCTGTAGCAGTAAGCCGAATATTTTGCAGTTTTCATATAGTTTTCTTTGAAATATTGTCCAGAATTAGTTGTGTCAGGATCATCAACCAATTTTATCACTGCTGCTGCTGAAATTCATTTAAAAGTTTCTTCATCTGTTTCTTGCATCAGTTATCATATGATTTTATACACTTCAGTCTTTTTTTCTTTAGACTTTATTTTACAGAGGTTCTTGCACCATACATGGTCAACATGCCACGAGCAATATAATCTTTGAGCAGGTTCCCCCATAACATGCACCCAAGCATTCAAAAATGAATCTGCCATATCTGACATAAATATGTTTGGTGACAAGGAACTTACTTGTTCTTTAATCTTAGAAAAAAAGATCTGTAATATTTCCTTGTCACTTTTGTTACTAAACAAAAAGGCACAAGGAAAACCTTGTCACATATCATCAATTACTATCAGTGATAAGCATTAAGTCCATGGGTCCCATCAATACACATAACATCATTTCTATATTTTGCTAACAAAAACCTGACCATCATTCATAGTACCTAAAGCAAAGTTAGATTCTGCTAAATGAAGATATTCTTCACATTTTGTACTTTGTGGTTTATAAAACAACACACAATCATCACTGCCATCTCTCATTTCATTCACCCAGACGTCTACAGTTAATAAATCATTTGGATGTCTTACAGAATTTGATGACAATCGGAAACTACTTTCAATATGATGTAGATCTTTTCTTGTTACTAAATGAGGTCTTTGTAGTTCTTCTGGTGTTGATAGTCTGTCTCTGACTTCCTCTATTATGGCATTGAAAGGTTTCCTCGAATAAATTTTTGTTCCTAATATATTTCTGTTCTTCGATGACAAAACTGTATGACATAATTCATTTTGATGGCCTACATGTTGCGGGGTGATTGTAACAACACACTTTACATCATGTTTTATGCTCACTTTCATTTCGGATGGACAGAATCCATCAATCTTTTTGCTTTATTGTATATTTAAATAAGGAATAATTTTCCCTTACTTTTGAAATAACCAGATCTATGACAGTTATGATATATAGAACTATTAGGCTTAATGTTCCTATCTGAACCACTTATTATAATGTACTTAACTGTATTTTCCATTTCATATTTCTGTTTCCATTCCTTAAAATCACTAAATGAATTATATGTCTAAATATTATTAGTAATAAAAATGTCATGCATCTTGCTGAAATGTGACAATAGTTCTTTTTTCTTATATATTTTCTTATATATATTTTCTTTTTTCTTATATTCTTATTCAATATTTAATTGCAGCGTGTAAACGCTGCAATTAAATATTTTCGAAACTTGCTTGCAATTCCTATAATTCTCTTTTTTTTTTTTTTTTTTTTTATGTTTCTCCATACATGTTTGGATAAGCTTTCTTTAAATTTGTATTTGACATGGCATATACTGAACTCCAACTCCATTTCAACTAAAACTTACCATGAAGAGAAGACCATGTGTAACTAAAAACAACGACTCAAAACAGCATTGCCATATGTTTTTAGTGTTTGTAGCCAAAAATTTTTTAATACAAAAATTTATTTGAAAACACAAATATTTGTTTTATTTGGGTCTCTAATTAATAAAAAATGAGAAAACACCATTTTAAAGTGCATTTTTATTCTCAAAACAATAACAAAGCCAGTTCCCGCTAGTAACACCATTTAGAACTTTAGTACCGGCATAATTTAGAACTAAGACTTAGCAGACTCTAGAATGTCTAGATCAATGGTTCTTAACCTTTTTATACTCGTGGTCCACCAAATATTTCATAATTTTTTTGTGATCCCCATTTTTTAAAATAATAATTTATATTTGTTAAATTATCTATAATAAATTGATTTTTTATTGCTTTATTTTTAAAATTCCAAGCATTAATAGTTTCTTCGAATTACTTTGGAATAAAAAAAGTAAATACTGTGGTGTAAGTAGCATATTTGCATTTATTTCTTCTGTACTAACAAAGTTGTAAGTAGGAAGAAATAAGAAATAAAAAAAAACTAAATACGAAAACTTTATCTTATTTATTTCACTTTTCAATATGATATTCGGTTATACATCAATTTTCTTTTTATTATATTCTGAAGGAAATTTTGCATAATTTGGCGGACCCCCAACAAACTTCTTACGGACCCCCAGGGGGCCGAGGCCCCTCTGTTAAGAAACACTGGTCTAGATGATTATTACCATGGCAACAGCAGTTGGTTGACAGACAGGTTGCTCTAGTCAGACAGACTTAAAAAATAAAATATTTGTAATGAGGTTAAAGCAGTTGGTCATAATGTGAAATAGCCCTTACTCATTCAAAGATTTGAGTGAAATTAATATGGATATTTGTTAATTGATATTGACTGACACACTATTTAACTAGGAGAGGTAAGTGTTTTATCTTATATGAAATTTATTTATTTATTTAGGCAAATGTAAACTCAAACTCAGCGGTTATAAAACCTTCTACTCAAAACATATTGTTGACAAATGAAAAACATTTTAAATTGAGAAAATGAAGATAAAAGTAGAGCCAGAAAATGAATATTCACAATTTACATTGAACCCAGGTGATGTAAAGTTTATTTATTTATTTAGGCAAATGTAAACTCAAACTCAGCGGTTTTAAAACCTTCTACTCAAAACATATTGTTGACAAATGAAAAACATTTTAAATTGAGAAAATGAAGATAAAAGTAGAGCCAGAAAATGAATATTCAGAATTTACATTGAAC